CTGCATTGTCCATTCTGGATCCTATTTTGAAATTGGTATATTTTTTAAATTGTGTGAAATTGGCCAATTGCCAATTTCTGACCACTTTACTGGGTAGCTGAAATTGGTAAATGGGCAGTTTCTTGTATTCAATTGATAGAACAAATAGAGTTCTAGAGAAATAGTTATGAGTTTGGTCGACTGGAATAATGGAATTAGCCGAAAATAAGGCTCAAAGTGGGCAAAATGGCCGATTCGTAAATGTTGCCAAGGTTGCTAACTTTGCGAGAGCGTAATTCCATAAGTTTTCCATCAAATTTCGTACTTTTGGTGTCATTACTATCGGGAAAAGGTTCTCTATCATTTCATAAGGAAAAATATTTTTTTTTCTCAAATATTTTGCAACACCAGGAGACACCTCAGAATTTGGGGTTTCAACAGTCAAAAGGGTTAAACTTTACAAAATGTATTTTTTTTATTATTATTTTTGGGTGTCTGGAATGGATTAATTGTATGTATTTACATTAATTCTCATGGGAAATACTGCTTCAAATTTAGGCCGTTTTTGAATTTAGGCCGACCTTCTGGAACGGATTACGGCCGACATTCGGGGTTCCACTGTACTTACACTGTACTGCTTTCTAATCTATCCTTACTTCACCTATGGTATTTGAGTCTTGGAATCTACTACACAAAATCATCTAAAACTATTAATAACCTGACAAAAAGCCAGTGCGGATTATCAGCCATTCCATTGCCTGCCGAACAACACACTAACCCCACTCTTCAAAAGTTTGTACTTAAACAAAATATGCACTCACACTACTGTGCCTAATATAAATACTGTATATAGGACAATTTATTCCTATAAACCCTTCTCTGAAACTTTTCCTTGATAGATGCAACAGAACACACAGGCATAACCCAAGGCACAAAATTCTCTTTGACATCCCCATCTGACTCAACCTGTGTAAAAACTCAATGTGCATAAAAGGATTTAATCTCTGGAACTCCCTGACTGAAGCATCAAAATGCCTCTAATCTGTCAAACAATTTAGAGCTATTGTTAAAAAACACATCATCTCCCTAACATAATGGAGGCATCAACATGCTATGTCAAACAAACCAGCTTTCATCCAATTCTGTTCATGTTCTTCCAGCCTTCCTTCAACTCCCATACATAAATGATAACATATATTGTCTCATTTTATTTGTATTATAATCTAAGTAACTTGCTGTATCTTCACCATCTCTATTAAATCACTCCACAAAGCTGAGGATCATTGAACCATTTTAAATAACATGCAATTCTTTCGAAACTGACCTTTTGTCATTAGCTACTTTTCTTTTCGTAATTATGATTGTAGTTAACTGAACAAGTCCTGTTTAACAGAGTATGATTAGTTGCCCAAAATGCATTGCATAATTAATGGTTTTCTTTTGTGGCTACTGTACTAATATATTTAACTATATTTTTTGTATAATTTACAGAAATAACTATTATTATTATTATTATTATTAACCTAACTCTGAAATTCATACTGGGGATTGAACCATGGACACTCGGTATGTTAGCTGAGTGCACTGCCAATCAAGCAAGGGGATAAAATGAATGCCAACAGCAATTGTTCCCAGGCAGTCACCCATCCAAGTACTAGGCCCAACATGCTTAACTTGACTGATTGGACGAGAAGCGATGCATTCAACGTGATATGGCTGGTGGTCTTTCCCTGATGCGATTTATGATAACAATAACTATGTTCAAACATAATAATAATGTATGTTCAAATGTAATGCTCCACAACTTACATCAATATAGAGTAAAAATTAGTATTAATCTACCCAAAATGCCTAGGCATGCTAGTGGCCTTCTCTGTAATTAATACTTTATAACATGTAAATCACACATTGTATGCTTTACAAGGAAATAAACACTGTCATTGTCACTGTCATATCCTGAAACCTACTTGCCAAGTCTTCGCCCTTATTCATCCTCATGTACTTCTTGTTTCCATTTTTATCTACTACCCCATGTTATACCATATGTTTAAATCCTCTTCATTCAGACAGCTATTTTACTGAGAATTTTACAGATTAATCATTTTACCCAACTTTAATATCCATGCATGATGAAATAGTCTACAAATAAGTCCTACTGAATTAAACTGCAAATTCATAAATTAGTTGCACTCATACCTTTTTAAACTACTATAAAATTATTTTATTTTTAATGAATTAGATATGCTGTAATCTGTTGTAACACTGTGTAATTCTTAGAGCTTGGCTTTTGCTTTGCTTGTTGTATACTGTATTATGCAGTGATAAGAAATAAAAAAAATCTCGCTCTCAATCTTTCTTTCTCAATATTTCAGACATGAGAACATAGTTGATTTAAATAAAAGCATAACAATATTATCTTGTACAAGAGGTGGGACCAGAAAATCCTAATGTTACGAGAGGCAGCCTTTAATAAGGGTTATAAATTTGCAGAGGAAAAGAAAAACAAATCAAGAAAGAAAATATCTACTGACCCTAAATTTAATTACAAGTTGTTTAACACTTGCCAAAAAGGCTATCCACACTTGTATCACTCAGAGTATGTATGTATTATGCTAGCAAGATAGACCTTTATGGTACTCAAGACAAACATACCCCAACAAAAGAGGACACATTCTATAATTTCATTTTTAAAGCTTATAAAATAAGCTTGAGATAAGGTTCATTTTCTGAATTTGTAAGTGGAGTGCAAGATTTTAATTAGTATCTTGAGAATAACGTAACAAAAATTTTAAATATTTATGACAAGGTCCAGTGCTACATAAATTTTCTGCTTTTGGCTAGTTAGCCAAATATAGTAAAATATTACTTGTGTAAAAAGTTAAACATTCTTGAGTAAGAAGACTGACATTAATACATTACAAATGAATTTTCAATAATATATTTTCCCAAATTAAATACCTCTTAATTTATTAATTTATTTATTAAAGATTAAATGCAAACAATTAATGCTCAAACAAAATACAAATTTTTATTTCTTTATGTGGTACAAATAATGTAGTTTATATATTATAAAACATTGGTAGGCACAAAAGAAAGCCACTAATTATGCCATACATTTCAGGCAAATTAAGTTTCCAAATATTCTCATTAAAGTCTTTATGAGACTGACCAAAAATCACCAACAGTACCTGTACTATGAAAAGATGAAAATAAATTTTAACATTATTACAATAATTACTGGTATACTGTATAATGCTACTTACATCATGAATTGCAGCGGTCAGTCTTAAATAAATTATGTAAGATCAGATTTCAGAAACTACTAATGAAATTAATCCTCCCACAAATGATTATTTTTCCAAATCATGACATTAAGATAATGTTTAATGAGCATTTGCTAACTGGACTACAGCAACCACATGCCCAAGTGCTTATCCTGACATTTATGAGTCAATGTAACTACAATCAGTATAAGCAAGAGAAAAAAAAATAAAATGCCATACGTATTTTCAGGCTACCCAGAACAGAGTTTTGTGGAGCTCTGTCTATTTTTCTTCATTATTATTATTTTTATATTATTATTTTTATATTAAGAGATAAGATATGTTACCTGACATACAGCCAGAGTTCATCTGCCATCTGGTCAGAAACAGTCAAAATTCAGAACAGATTTGACATTTATTCAGTAATGATCATTAACCAGATTCCACCTAGCAGCTGGTTGGTTTTTATTATAAACCAGTCCACCAGGCATTGTGTCAGTAATTATAATAGAGGGGTTCCATCTGATATCTGGTGAGAAATTATTCTAAACCAAATTCCAACTGACAGCTGGTGAGTTATGATCATAAACCAAAGTCCATCTGCCACTTGGTCAGAAATAGTCATGTTAAATTTCCTGACATCTCGTGAGGAACTAATATAAACAAAATTCCATCTGTTCAGAAATGATCAAAAATCTGATTCCATTTGGTCAGAAATTAACTTAAATCAAATTCCACCTGCCAAGAAATTCTCATAAATGAGATTCTATTTGGTGAGTAATTCTCATAAACTAGATCCTAGATGGTCAGAAAATACCATGAACCAGATTCTATCTGATCATGAATTATCATAACTCATGTGTCCATGATATTTATTTATTCCTTTGTGCTATCATAATTTCACTAACTGCATTTTTTTAAATCGCTCTAATAAGCCTGCATAGATATCAGGTTAATTTAAACTATGTATGATAACTTTACTTAAGTTTACCTGTACCTAAAGAAGTTTACTTAAAGCTCAACATTGTACCTGTTATCCAATATCTATTGTTTTTGTTATTTAATAGAAACTTTATCAAGTTAAACCTTCACATTTCAAGTGAAGAACTGCTCAATTAATCCAGGAAAATAACCAAATGATCAATCTCAACTCCAGTACAGCCATATTATCTACAATTTTAACTTTAAACAAATTTTATGAGATTCACATATGCTTTAAGAAATGTTTAGCTCTCAGTGATCAGACAAAGGGAAATATATTATGAGTAAAGACACTAAACTAATGAGTATAATTTAACAAATAACTTAGAGGTGATAATATAGGCACAACACAAAACACTGTCACCAATAGGATCAACATCATGGAGAAAGAATTTGTGTTGGGGTGTCCAAGGGAAGCCTTGGTGTGAGTCGAGTGCCAACACAGGCTTCACCAAGGTGCCAGCCCAGGGATACTTGCAGGAAGTATCATACAGCAGAGTCCCCAGTACACACGCAATATTTGGGGCAGGAGGTGAATGGCCGTCATTCCTCCCGGCTCGGCCAAGCCCCCATTACCCACACAGGTTTCACTTCCCCAACGCTTACACTACCCCATTTGTCGCCCCTTATCTCACTTGCTTGGTCTTCTGAACCTCGTTTGAAGCACAGGTTGTGTTGATAGGCACAAAAACAGCAGCATGAATCTCCACAATCACAACTCAAAACACAAACACCAAAGCTGATCACTTCCACTGCCATGATCACATGTAAACCAACCTGAGGTTCCTTGTCCTTTCATTCGCTGCATATCAGACTGTCCAGCGTACATAAAACTGTCACTTTTGAATAGTCACACACTGTATAAATCTGTCTTTCAGTCCACAAATTCCTCACTAATTCATGCGGCCATGTTAGTTGGAGGGCTCGATATCAGCCAATAACTGCCAGAAAAACACACACAACCAGTGGCCGATAGGTGGCGCAGAAAGGTTCTCCAGGCAAACAAAATCCAGTTAGCAGACTAAGAATATTTGCTAGAGGTTCTGAAGATGTAGTTAGAACATATGATGGGCGCTGGAGAGAGAGCAGACAACCAGATGACGATAGCAAGAGTTGAGTGGGAGTATTACAAGAGGTCATTCACGAGGTCTCTACACTACAGCAAGGAGGTGCCTCACTCTCCACGTGTATCTCGCAGTTTTTTTCTTTCTCTCTAACCTAGTTATCTATCGCCGTGACTGCTTATATAAAATCAGATAGCTTTTATCGTGACTAGGAAACCATAAACAAGGACCCCAGTGGAAATAAAGTCGCTTTTTTTTTTTTTGGGGGGGGGGGGGGGGGGGTATCCTAGATAACCATATGCTACTGTGTAATTGTACCTGAATGAACTTAACTGGACAGAAAGAAGCAGCATGTAAAGTTTTCTTGTTCCCCTCAAGAGGGGTTCCTTGATGCTAGTCAAGGGAAGTTGTTTGATGCTGGTGAGGGGAGGTTCCTTGATGCTAGTCAAGGGAAGTTGTTTGATGCTGGTGAGGGGAGGTTCCTTGATGCTAGTGAGGGGAGGTTCCTTGATGCTAGTGAGGGGAGGTTCCTTGATGCTAGCAAGGGGAGGTTCCTTGATGCTAGCAAGGGGAGGTTCCTTGATGCTAGCAAGGGGAGGTACCTTGATGCTAGCAAGGGGAGGTTCCTTGATGCTAACAAGGGGAGGTTCCTTGATGCTAACAAGGGGAGGTTCCTTGATGCTAACAAGGGGAGGTTCCTTGATGCTAACAAGGGGAGGTACCTTGATGCTAGCAAGGGGAGGTACCTTGATGCTAGCAAGGGGAGGTTCCTTGATGCTAGCAAGGCGAGGTTCCTTGATGCTAGCAAGGGGAGGTGCCTTGATGCTAGCAAGGGGAGGTTCCTTGATGCTAGTGAGGGGAGGTTCCTTGATGCTAGCAAGGGGAGGTTCCTTGATGCTAGCGAGGGGAGGTTCCTTGATGCTAGTGAGGGGAAGTTCCTTGATGCTGGTGAGAGGTACCTTGATGCTGGTGAGGGGAGGTTCCTTGATGCTGGTGAGGGGAAGTTCCTTGATGCTAGTGAGGGGAGGTTCCTTGATGCTAGTGAGGGGAGTTTCCTTGATGCTGGTGAGGGGAGGTACTTTGCTGCTCGTGAGGGGAGGTACCTTGCTGCTGGTGAAGGGCTCTTGATTTGAGAAACTTGACTTGCCCTCCCCTTCTTGGGTGGCAATCTTGCTTTTTATAACCCTTTCAAATAAAAATCTTTGAAAGGGTTCTAAGAAGCAAGATTGCCACCCATCTAGATACCCATCAGCTACACAACCCAGGGCAACATGGGTTTAGAGCAGGTCGCCCCTGCCTGTCCCAGCTACTGGACCACTATGACAAGGTCCTGGATACTCTAGAAGACAAACAAAACAGAGATGTATTATACAAGACTTTGCAAAATCCTTCGACAAGTGTGACCATGGTGTAATAGCGCACAAAATGCGTGATAAAGGAATAATGAGAAAAGTTGGTAGATGGATCTATAATTTCCTAACAAACAGAACACAAATAGTAGTAAACAGTAAAGTCTGAGGCGGCTATGGTGAAAAGCTCTGTTCTACAAGGCACAATACTCGCCCCCATCCTGTAAGCCACAGCCTTGTGTCTTCCGTTGCAGATGACACCCGAATCTGCATGATAGTGTCCTCCACTGAAGACACTGCAAGACTCCAGGTGGGCATCAACCAAATCTTTAAATGGGCCGCAGAAAAAAGTGTTAAGTTCAATGATGAGAAATTTCAATTACTCCAATATGGAAAACACGAAGAAATTAAAACTGTATCAAAGTATAAAACAAATTCCAACTACACAATAAAGTGAAAAACTAATGTAAAGGACCTGGGAGAGAGAATGTCAGAGGATCTCACCTTCAAAGATCACAACACTGTATTAATCGCATCTGCTAGAAAAATGACAGGATGGATAATAAGATGCTAAGCCCATGACGACATTTTTCAGGTCGCTTGTTCTATCTAGGCTGTAATATTGCTGCACATTAACAGCACTTTTAAAGGCAGATGAAATTGCTGACCTAGAAAATGTACAGAGAACCTTCACGGCACACATGAGTATGATAAAACACCTCAATTACTGGGAATGCTTAAAGTTCCTCAACCTGTACTCCCTAGAATGCAGGTGGGAGAGATACATGATTTTATACACTTGGAAAATCCTAGCAGGATTAGTACTAAACTTGCACACGAAAATCACTCCCTATGAAAGCAAAGACTCAGCAGACAATGCAACATCTCCCCAATGAAAAGCTGGGGCTCCACTAGCATAAGAGACAACATAATAAGTGTCAGGGGCCCAAGACAGCTCAACTGCCTCCCAGCATACATAAGGGGGATTACCTATAGACCCCTGGCTGTCTTCAAGAAGGCACTGGACAGGCACCTAAAGTTAGTACCTGACCAGCTGGGCTGTGGTTCATACGTCAGGTTGCATGTTGCCAAAAGTAAGTCTGGTTGATCAGGCCCTGATCCACTATGAGGCTTGGTCACAGACCAGGCAATGAAGGTACTGACCCCCGAAACCCTCTCCAGGTATACACACGTCATAAAATATCCTACCATATAATGAGGTAAATGATGAACTGGTTATAGAATATTATATCAAATATAGTGAGGTAGATAAGGTGCCAGTTATGTTTCACCAAATCTTGCAATAAGACAACCAAGTGTAATTGTGTATATAATGTGTACAGAGGCTTTGTTGATTCTACTTGGTTGTCTCATTACAAGAAGTGATGAAACATGATTAGTTCATCATCTAACTCACTATACAGAATATTTTATGATGTACGAATGGACTCACCTATGTGGCTGCAGGGGTCAAGTCACAGCTGCTGGTCCCGCCTCTTCGCTGGTCACTACTAGGTCACTCTCAGCTTAAGAGCATTAATGATTTCTGTTGCAAATGAAGAAGGAAATTCTTTTGCAAATGAAGGAGGTTTTGTGGGCAAGTGTCTTGATTTTCTAGTGAGTGTGCGTGAGTGTGTTAGATAGGAATGAATGGAGACGAATGGTTTTTGGGACCTGATGAGCTGTTGAAGCGTCAGCAGGGTAATATTTTGTGTAGGGATTCGGGGAAACCGGTTAGCCGGACTCGAGTCCTGGAAATGGGAAGTACAATGCCTGCACTTTAAAGGAGGGGTTTGGGATATTGGCACTTTGGAGTGACTACCTAAACTGTCGTATCTGGGCGCTTCTGCAAAGACAGTGATTGTGTGTGTGATGGTGAAAGTGTTGACTGATAATTAAAGTTTTTTCTTTCTTTTTGGGGTTTTCTTTCTTTTGGGTCACCCTGCCTTGGTGGGAAATGGCAAACGTGTTAAATAAATAAATAAATAAATAAATAAATAAATAAATAAATAAATATATATATATTTTTTTTTTTCAACAAGTTGGTCGTCTCCCACCGAGGAGATATATATATATATATATATATATATATATATATTATATATATATATATAAAGGAGGGGTTTGGGATATTGGCAGTTTGGAGGGATATGTTGTGTATCTCTATACGTATATGCTTCTAAACTGTTGTATTCTGAGCACCTCTGCAAAAGCAGTGATAATGTGTGAGTGTGGTGAAAGTGTTGAATGATGATGAAAGTATTTTCTTTTTTTTTTTTTTTGGGTCACCCTGCCTCGGTGGGAGACGACCGACTTGTTGAAAAAAAAAAAAATATTTATATATATATATATAATATATATATTATATATATATATATATATATATATATATATATATATTCTAGGTAGTAGGTTGGTAGACAGCAACCGCCCAGGGAGGTACTACCGTCCTGCCAAGTGAGTGTAAAACGAAAGCCTGTAATTGTTTTACATGATGGTAGGATTGCTGGTGTCCTTTTTTTTCTGTCTCATAAACATGCAAGGTTTCAGGTACGTCTTGCTACTTCTGCTTACACTTAGGTCACACTACACATACATGTACAAGCATATGTATACACACCCCTCTGGGTTTTCTTCTAGTTTCTTACTAGCTCTTGTTCTTGTTTATTTCCTCTTATCTCCATGGGGAAGTGGAACAGAATTCTTCCTCCGTAAGCTATGCGTGTTGTAAGAGGCGACTAAAATGCCAGGAGCAAGGGGCTAGTAACCCCTTCTCCTGTATATATTACTAAATGTGAAAGGAGAAACTTTTGTTTTTCCTTTTGGGCCACCCCGCCTCGGTGGGATACGGCTGGTGTGTTGAAAGAAAGAAGAAGTATATATATATATATATATATATATATATATATTATAATATATTCTAGGTAGTAGGTTGGTAGACAGCAACCGCCCAGGGAGGTACTACCGTCCTGCCAAGTGAGTGTAAAACGAAAGCCTGTAATTGTTTTACATGATGGTAGGATTGCTGGTGTCCTTTTTTTCTGTCTCATAAACATGCAAGATTTCAGGTACGTCTTGCTACTTCTACTTACACTTAGGTCACACTACACATGCATGTACAAGCATATATATGTATATATACACATCCCTCTGGGTTTTCTTCTATTTTCTTTCTAGTTCTTGTTGTTGTTTATTTCCTCTTATCTCCATGGGGAAGTGGAACAGAATTCTTCCTCCGTAAGCCATGCGTGTTGTAAGAGGCGACTAAAATGCCAGGAGCAAGGGGCTAGTAACCCCTTCTCCCGTATAAATTACTAAATTTAAAAAGAGAAACTTTCGTTTTTCTTTTTGGGCCACCCTGCCTTGGTGGGATACGGCCGGTTTGTTGAAAAAAAAAAAAAAAAAAAAATATATATATATATATATATATATATATATATATATATATATATATATATATATATATATATATATATATTTTTATATGCATGCATGCTTGTTCCGCAAACAAAATGTTTCAGCAATAAAGACAGCCAAGTGTTGCACATGTCTTAGTCACCAACTTGTTTGTATTGTATACCATTAATATGAATGGAGAAAATTATGAGGAATAGACTGTATACTACTTTTACAAATAAACTTTCATTATAGAGCTATCCAGATGTGAATCAAAATGTGAGAAAGCCAAAAGGGATGATTAGGGACAAAGTTTAGTCTCTGGATAATATACAATACCCTGGTAAGACAGGATAAAACCCCCTGATCACTCCATACATAAAAAACCTGCTTTTTAGGAGAAACAAGGGACAATAAGTTGCCCCAAGTAAAGGGTTATTTGTGTAATGTTCCAGCCACAGTATTTTCCCTTTTTTTTCACGTCCTAACTTACAAATTCACTGTATGACATTAAAATCTTAAGATTGAGTAAAAAATACTCTGGAAAACTGGCAATGAAAATATTTGGGGCAATCAAACATTTGATGAAGTACAGGAACACACACACAAAAAAGAAGAAAAAAAAAGATTATATTCATAAAACTCCCACAAGGAGCTTTTTAATGAGGGGGTTGAACTTTAATGGAGAAAAACCCAAAATTTTAATAAAAAAATTACTTAATTTATCTGCAAATTTATTATGGTGTTTTTTTTTACATTCATGGGGGAAAAGATATCCCATTGGGGGTCAGACAGACCTGGCGGTAACGGGAGGCACTCGGGTTCAATCCAAAGGGAAATGGAAGGGGAGATCCAATTCCCTTGGATCAAGAGACCTCCACCCCATCAAGGAGCCCAAATTTTAGGGGCACAAATACAAAACAGGGGAAGGCCCGGGGGTTTAACTTAATTGGTTCCTAGGTGGGTTTGAACTGTGAAAAGTTCAATGTCTGAAAATGTTTTCCCGCCTCACACGGAGGATGTTAACGACTCTTCCCAAAAACCCATGAAGTTTGGGCCCCTGTCAGGTGGTCACTTCAAAACATTTTGAAACAGGGCTTTCCTGTAAAGCTTTTGTACAACTGAATTTTAAACAAGTCAGCTCATTCGGACTCCACAAAAATTTTCAAAGACCAGGTCTTTTTTTTTTTTCTAAACAAAATTATTCAGACTTCAGTTTGTTCATTTATTATTATAAACATAACCAAGGTAGTAGGTTGGTAGACAGCAACCACCCAGGGAGGTACTACCGTCCTGCCAAGTGAGTGTAAAATGAAAGCCTGTAATTGTTTTACATGATGGTAGGATTGCTGGTGTCCATTTTTCTGTCTCATAAATATACAAGGTTTCAGGTATGTCTTGCTACTTCTACTTACACTTAGGTCACACTACACATACATGTACAAGCATATATATACACACCCCTCTGGGTTTTCTTCTTTTTTCTTTCTAGTTCTTATTCTTTGTAGATGAATGGTTCAGAGAACCGACATGTTGATAAATTAGACACATGTGCAACTCTTGGGTATCTTTATTGAGGAAACGTTTCGCCACACAGTGGCTTCATCAGTCCATACGTAGGAGAAACTTGGTGGTGTCACATTGAACAAATGTGACACCACCTATGACTGCTGCACCTCTCCTGCCATACGGTTTATAAGCTGCTTCTCAGCTCATATGCCGTATTCTATTCAAGATTGATGGACTGAACACATCGACTCAAGGTTGAGGGACTGATTACCTCATTCTCCTCCTGTTCTTCAAGTTTCTCCTATGTATGGACTGATGAAGCCACTGTGTGGCGAAACGTTTCCTCAATAAAGATACCCAAGAGTTGCACATGTGTCTAATTTATCAAGTTCTTATTCTTGTTTATTTCCTCTTATCTCCATGGGGAAGTGGAATAGAATTCTTCCTCCGTAAGCCATGTGTGTTGTAAGAGGCAGCTAAAATGCCGGGAGCAAGGGGCTAGTAACCTCTTCTCCTGTATATATTACTAAATGTAAAAGGAGAAACTTTCATTTTTCCTTTTGGGCCACCCTGCCTTGGTGGGATACGGCTGGTGTGTTGAAAGACAGAAGAATAACCAAGTGCTAAACCCATACAGCGCTGCAGATGGGATGTGCTAAAAGATTTAATATGCCTGATCAGAGATCAATATGGGTGAAGAGTATAACAGTTAGTAAGGGCAGCGAGTTGTCCTAAAGGAAGTATAATCAAAGGCCGTGTAATAAAACTGGGGCTGTCGGCTAGGAGGAAAGATAAAGTAAGGGTGTTAGAGTGGTGACGACGATGGAGGTAAATTCTGTGCTTGCTGATAGGACAGTCCAATAGAATATGGCAAACCGAAAATGGGAACTGACAATTTGCACACTGGAACTGGGAGCCGCTCCACAAAATACCCATAAGTGAGACGTGTGTGCCTGATGTGAAGACGGGAAAGCACAGTCTCCCAACCACGGCATCAACGATAAGACAACGCCCAGGATCCTAATCTCGGCTTGATACAGAGTGTAATTTGTTTTAAATGAATTCAGACCAACATTGTTGCCAACAGTTGCAAAGGTGGCTAGAGATTATAGCAAAATAATCTGAGAATGGAATACCTCCATATGCAACTGGAAGGTCGTGTACTGCTGACCATGCAACAGTCTGCCTACTCATTGCCCTGAACATCAACATGACCAGGGACCCAGCAGAAAAAGATTTCTTTGTTTTTGCTAGAAATGTGGAACAACCAAAGTTGTATACAAAGAACCAAGGGATGAGGCAAATTAAATTTCATGAATGCCTTGTAAAGCACTAAAGGAGTCCGAAACTACCACAAATGTTGACCTAGGCCTGGACACAATACGGATAACCACTATGAGAATTGCATGCAGTTCAGCTGTGAAAATGATAGCCAAGTCTAATAAATGACCTCACACAACACTGTCTGGGAAAAATGCTGCAAACCCGACACTGTCAGAGGATTCAGAACCGTCAGAGTAAACTGCAACGGCACGAGAATGAGACCGGAAGTGGTTAACAAAAAGGGGCCGAGAAGCCACTGTAGGTATTTGAGGTTTTGAACATGGCAGTGGGGAAGAACAGACACAAACTACTGGAACCTCCCAAGGGAAAAGAGAAAAGTTAGATTGCCCAGAATTTGGTAATTGGACAGTTTTTAACTATTTTTAACAAATTCTGATAGTATTCCAGTCACAAAAACAACTGTCCTCCTGTTTATTAATCACATCCCCCAGAACATCTATATAACACTCACCCTCCATATTGAATCCATCATCAGAAAAAATGCAATGTTTTCTCCAAATTTTTCAGCTGATAAACCATAACTAAGAATACCTGGTCATGGTTTAGGCCATCCCAGTAAATGAAGCAGACCTGGACCTAATATAAAAAAAAAAGACTGGGTAAGGATAAGGGAAGCCCCACCCTTACCCCCAAAAACCACTCAAAATCGTCATTTCAATGCCTACTCAGACCTCTTCTGGTCTTAAACAGACCAAATCTTGTTCATTTTCAATAATGTCTTCTGGTCTACCTGTTGGCACTAAGAAAAAAAAAATGAAAATGCCCCAAAGTTGCATTTTTTTTTTACCCAAATGCAGAATCAGAGGTTGACTGTTCTTGTTCTGCACTGGGTGGGTGGGGCAGGATTATTTTTTACACTGCACAAACCCATGGCATAGACTTATTCTCTCATACCTAGGCTAAAATCTGTCACTCACAAAAAACTGTGATACCAATATACAGAATGATAATGATATACAGGATTGCATACAAAATTATATTATATAATAAAAAACATGTAAATTGGTACATCATTATATTCATAGGGGGTTTCTAAATTTGCAAGGATCATGCACTGAATTGGAAATGGGAAGTAATCAGGTTTGATCCAAGTAAGGAAAGTGTAGCTCCAATTTCTTGGATCAAAAATTCTTCACCAGCATCCAGGTACCACACTAGTATAGTGTTTTGAAAAAGTGTTCCAGTTGCTGCAAAGCTAAATTTAAAGTCTTGCAAGAGCAAATAACACATTTTCAGAGAAAACCACAAACACTGACCATGGCTGACCTGGAAGATGATTCTAGTATGCCTGACCCAAATTAGTTTATATACTGACAAGGAGCACCAACCCCATAAGGGCCATACAACACCTGCAAAATGAGATAATCAGGTTTGATCCAAGGAAGGGAAGGATAGCTTCAATTCCTCAGATCATGCACCCTTCACCCTTACATTTATGAGCAATAACTTCCCACAGTTAAGGTACCCTCTAGGGAGGTTCCTATGTAAGTGAAGGGCTCTCAATGCAAAAAATTGAACTTGACCTCCCCTTCCTTGGATCAAACCCAATTGCTTCCCATTTCCCCCAGATGTATGTTCCCTATGGGTTTAGGATATACTAATAATAATGTTAGGTACAAGTGTAATAGTGTAGGTCTACACTAACTTCAAGGCAAAAAAAAAAAAAAAAAAAAAAAAAAAAAAAAGGCACTTTTTAAAAATGTTATTCCTTTGATGCCAGAATATAAAATTTATACTTTTTAATATAGCATAAACAAGTAGTATTTCACATTACAATACAGTATATTTACCCCTTTGATACTTAAAAGATTAAGCAACACAGTTTAGGTTCTATATCAGATTTTTATCTAGTTTAAAATTTTAGCAAAAATATTTAAGTGAAGTCCTTAAATACAGAAATACAATACTGTACATTAAATTAATTATGGTGATACCTTAATATGTAAACTGGAAACTCTTAATTACTTTCATAATTCCCATTAAAAATTTAAAAGTAAAAGCTAGTCAGCATTTGAAAACTTTTCAGTCTATCAGTTATTGCATGCGATAAATCTTAATGTACAGTTTTAAAAACTGTTCAATATGGTAAATATTACAAATGACACGGGTTCATTATACAAAAATTAACTGAATAAAATATGGTAAATATTATGGACATTATTTTAAAAATGAATACTAAAAATATACGAGATACCTGTACATACAGTATACAGGACTCACTTTTAATTATAGTATACACTAGAGTAATGGATGGAATTGGTTGCAAATCACAAAGTATCCCTGAATAATCTTTTTTTAATGGATATGTAATATGCCTTCTTGTTCCACAGTAGGTAATAGGTTGGTAGACAGCAACCATCCAAGTAGGTACTACGGTCCTGTCCAATGAGTGTGACATATAAACCTGTAGTTTTTTTTTTTCTCTCTTAGGGAACTGCTGATCTTTCCTTTCTTTTCCCTGATAACCTAAGATGACAGGTAATCCTACCAATCTTAACTTACACTCAGTATACACATACCTTTATTTTCCTACATGCTTCTTAATAGTCCTTATTTCTATAATATTTCTTTTCCAACTCAGAAGGCTTGATCCGAGACCTGGCCATGGAAAAGATAATCCCCAGGACTACTAACAGATTACATTACATCATTTCTTATAAACACAAATTGTCATTGGTGACAAGTACTGCATAATTTGGTATCACACCGAGGCATCTTCAACAGTTTGAAGAAGGGTGCTGTGTGAGGCCAAAATATACACTACTCTTATTACCTTTCATTATACTGTATTTTCTCCATCTGGGTTCATTTGTGCCACTGACCAGTATTTTTTTTTACTCTTATGTAGTTGGACATACAGTGGTGGCTCATGTGATCCGAGGCAGCAGTGCTGTCAACATTCCAGCCACCAGTATTAACATCATGTTGGAGTTTTGTGATGATGAGCCTAACTGTAATTATAAAGACTGGTTTTAAAAAATAAAGAGGGGAGGCATATTAAACTTTTAAAGCAAGCAATGCTGAAGCAAATATACATATAGTTGACCTCCACTTAATGACCTATAGATAGTAAACAGACAAAACATCCAAGTGAAAACCCTGTTAGGCAACTAGCATTTTCCTATAGACACATAACCAGAGATGGGAGTGGAACAATAATATTCTACAACCAATTCATATTTTGGGAGGAGGGGGAGGAGCAATTAGGAAGGGGTTAAATTCACAACTATGCTATGTACTCAAAAGACTTGTCCCCCTTTGTTTCCAAATTGTCTGCCTTGTCCTGGCCTGTTCTGCCTTGATACATCTGCTCTGGACTGCCCTGCTTGCTCTGCCTTGCCATATCATGCCCTACCCTGCTCTACTTTGCCCTGCCCTACCTGCTTTCTGCCTGCCTTGCCAATGATCACTTAACCTAGGGTAGGTTTAACAATAAGTTGAACAAGTACACAGATGAGATAGGCTGGATGTAATGTAATGGTGGCTGAGTGTAAGACACATCTAGCATGGGCAAACGAGTCTACTGCAATGTTCATTTATATAGAATTACTGTAGAATCATTTGACCTCTTAATATTCCTCAAAAACTTTGGTAAACTTATATATATATATGTAATTTTTTTTTTTTTTTTTTTTTTTGGGGGGGGGGGGAATATCAGGGGTTGATCTACACATTAATTAAGGTTAAACTCTGGCATGTTTTTTTTTTTTTCTAAACACAATGGCCATTTCCCACTGAGGCAGGGTGACCCAAAAAATAAGAAACCCTTTCATTATCACTCAATCCATCACTATCTTGCCAGAGACATGTCAAAACTCTAGTTCAAAAGCTGCAATGTATCTCCACCCCACCTTGAGAGTGCTGGCATTGTACTTATCACTTCTAGGACTGAAGTCCAGCTAACCAGTTTGCCTGAATCCCTTCACATACGTTACCTTGCTCACACTCCAACAGCATGTCGTAACATAAAAACCACTTTTCTCTGCTTGCTCCTCTCTAACATGCTCATGTACGCTTGCTGAAAGTCTAAGCTCCTCACATGCTAAACCTCTTTATTTACCCCCTCCCTCTGACCTTTCATAGGATGACCCCTACCCCAACCTCCTCCTACAACAGATTTATATGCCCTTTAAGTTATTCTATTTTGTTCCATCCTCTCTAAATGTCTGAACCACCTCAACAAACCCTCTTTAGCCCTCTGAATAATACTTTCAGTAACCCCGCACTTTTGTTAAGTGGAGATCAACTGCATCTTGTGAACCAAACTAAAACACAAAGCTAAAAGTTGCATGTTCATTATTATGTACATATATCATTTCATAGATGATTTTCAATACAAACCGTGATGTAATAGTTGCATCGGTCTCCCTTACAGCACTCTGCACATGTCCAATCTTTCCACCATATTCGCAGACAGTTTGGCATGTACTTTTTTATGGTTTGAACACAGTCTTCTTTTGTAGCACAGCGCTTGCTAATGAAGTGCTGCATTGGGGCACCGATTTGCCAATAAGGTGTGCCTGTTGAAATTTAGAATTTAATACAGCTAGTACATATAATATGTATTTATATACAAATTACTATACATGGAAATCATTTTCTTAAAGTTCATAAAATGACTAGCAACTGGATTAAAAAAATTTCCCATTTTAAAACTAAACCAAAAGCATTTAACCCGTAAACGGTCCAAGCAGATCTACGTTCACATGTGTAGTGCTACAAAAGTAGATCTACGTTTTTTTACACATTTTCAAATGTAAAAAAACAAAGAGAAGATCTACTTTTTTTACATACTTTCAAATGTTGAAAAAACGTATATACGTATATGTTTGGACTGTTTACGGGTTAATAAAAAACTCAATATGTATTTATAAATATTTTTCAGGACAGCCAATTCATTATCATGTAGTGCACCTAACCATTCATTGTGCAATATATAGTAAGCTTCCCATTTTTCTCAATAAAAATATCCTCTACTCACTTCCCCACTTAATTTCTGAAAGGCAATAATCTTCACCAAAGTCACAAGATTCCACAGTGGTGGCACACTTTCCTGTGTTCTCATCTTGATCTTTACAAACGTAACACTTCTGACCTGCCACACCTGCAATATATAAATTATTTTATAACATTTACTAAATACAAATATTTGGAATTAAAAAAATTAAAACAAAAATTACCCATTACATTAATATTTTGTTAATTTTATACCTCAGCTAATATAACTATGGTTTATCTCCACATTTCAAGTTAAAGTCTTTATTAGTAATTATTAAATATACGAGGTCGCATGTATATACCTGGAGACCTGAAGGAAACCTGGAGAGGGTTTTGGGGGTCAACGCCCTAGCGGCCTGGTCTGGGACCAGGCCGCGGGTCATAATAAAATGAAATAAGAGACGAAAGCTACTATTATGAAGACAACTGTCTTGATGCATCAACAGTAAGTTCATCAACCAAAAAAAATTCTTGTCCTTTCACCCATTTGAAAGAGCATACTGCAGATATGATCAACAAAATGTGATATTCTGAACAAGATGCATCTGCATCCAGTAGCTTACAAAAGAAAAGATGTTACTGATCATGAATATAATAGACATATGTAAACTTTGCCAAACCAAACTAAGGTTTCAATGTCCATTTATGTTTCATACTAATTAAATGCTGAAAAATGTGAGCTCTGATGATAGCTATAAAACTATCTGGTAGAGCACATAATTTTGTTTATTCATGGAAGTGTTATAGATGCTACTTGGATTAGTAACCCGGAGGGTTAGTAACCCAGGATAACCCAGTTAGGTTACTGTATTATCTGGGACTGTCTCTCATTTTCACCGAGATCCTTTAATATAGCACTCCCTTGAGATTTGACCCACAAGTCAACTAACATCCAGGGGTACCTACAATACTTACTGCTAGGTGAAAAGGGGCAGCAGGCATAAATATGCCCAATGTTTCACCCATGATAGGGATCAATCCTCAGACCATCAGTGTATGAGCTGAGGGGACACTATTAAACCATTGAGAATGGAGAATGGGAGGCAATCAGATTTGATCCAAGGAAAGGGAGGATGGCTCCAATTCCTTGGTGCTCCACCACCTACTCTTCACAGTTGGAGCAAATACATTTTAAGTTAGGGAATAAAGCCTGTTAAGTAAATTTATTTAGTCTCAATTACACAGAAGTACAATCAAACAAGTTGTAAGTGATTATAATTGTCTTATGTAACATGTGTAAATTACCCAGGATAACTAAAAAAAAAAAAAGTCAGTGACTTATTTCCACTGGGAGTCCTTATAATATCTTATTATTAGCAGCCTAGTATAATAGTACAACTCAAGTCATGATCATAACCATAAAATTAATACAACTAAGTAAATTCAACTAAGTGAAAGTGTTACAATAAAAGGTACAAAAAGTATATTGTATTATTATAATAAAAAAATGAGGCAAGCGCTAAACCTACAAGGGTCATACAGCACAAGGAATATTGTAAACTGAGTAATTTGCAAGAACATTAAATAAAGAAAAACCAGCTTAAGATAATACGAATGTTGTTGCAGAATTTCAAGATTAAAAGTAAACGTCCAATCAAACTTGAATTATTCAACTAGCATATATAAATACTTAGGAACAAAATCCATGTGTAATAAAATTACCTGAGATACAGAGGATCGCTACCAAAGTAATTACAACGGGCATTTCCGCCATAGTTTAAAACTTTGTTATTCCTTGTTCTTCTGTATTCACTTCTTCTCTGTTAACTCATCAGTAACATTATTATCTTTGCGACCGCTGCGCAGCCTTTCAAAAGCCCATAAAGACAGGTAAAATGAAAAAAAAAAATCGAGAGAAGTTTTCTTCCGGGAAGGTAACGTCTTCCGTTTGTTTTCGTGTGAAGGCGAACAACACTTGGCGATCATTACTGCCAGCGACTGATTGTAGCGCAGGTGTGGCTACCTGTTGATTATTAGTAAGTAAGTTTATTCAGGAATACACAAATACAATTACCTAACAGCATATGTGTAGAGAACCCAGGATAACACAAAAAAAGTCAGGGACTTATTTCCTTTGGGGTTCTTTTAATATCTTATTATTATACTACAAAGGAGATAATATCTTCTTATTATACTATAAAGGAGATAACATATTATTATACTGTAAAGGAGATAATATCTTATTATTATACTATAAAGGAGATAACATATTATACTGTAAAGGAGATAATATCTTATTATTATACTATAAAGGAGATAACATCTTATTATTATACTGTAAAGGAGATAATATCTTATTATTACACTATAAAGGAGATAACATTATTATACTGTAAAGGAGATAATGTCTTATTATTATACCATAAAAGTTGGTTAATAGGATTTAAAGCCCTAGCATGGGGCTCACACCCGGCCAAGTAGTGAAGAAACTTGAGTTTCAAATGTTAGCAACCGAGGCAGTCCCATAACTGAAAGAAATGTTCTGCTGGGAGAGGCTGAAGGATCTGAACCTGACAATCTCAGAGGAGAAAAGGCCAAGAGGGGACATAATCACTATTTTAAGACTGCCCGAAATGTTCTGCATTAACCAGTGGTTGTTTATGTATTATGTCAATAATATCATCTTTTCTGTACCACTGGTGAACCATTATTTATAGAAATGAAGTTCATTATTTATCATTTATCATAATTATTTTAACTAAAATCGTCAATGCAATTTTTTAACTATTTCTTCTTACTATTATTGTAATTGTAATATACAGAGTACGTTACCTAAAATAATCATAACATTTAATAACCATGTCATAAGAAAATTATATTAAATTTAGCGTACAAATAATGTAATTTAAGTTGTACAGATTTATAATATTACATGGTTTGTGTCTCAGTTTTAGTCTGTCCAAAATACTCTGCATCACCAAAGACTATTCAAATTATATGTAACGAATTACACCTAATTTTGCATCATTTGTGTGAATTCTAAGTAAGTAAGTAAGTAAATTTATTCAGGTATACACAATACAGTTACATAGAATTATCATACATAGCAGCATATGTGTAGAGAACCTAGGATAACCCAAAAAAGTCAGACAGAGTGACTTATTTCCATTGGGGTCCTTTTACCTTATTATTATAATATAAAGGTTATAATATTTTCTTATTATTCTATAATGAAGATAACATCTTATTATCATACTAAAAAGACTATCTACTACACGAGGGTCATTAAGACTATCTACAATACGAGGGTCATTAATTAAGACTATCTACTACCCGAGGGTCATTACGACTATCTACAATACGAGGGTCATTACTAGGGATAAGGTAAAATTTACACGTATTTTAGCTAAAAAATAGAAAATCATTCCCCTCCCTTTCTGTTGCTTCATTCATCAGACACTTTTTGGCAGTCTTCTTGAACTGGTTCAAGCTATGACTGGCCTTGACATTTGTGGGTAGTCTGTTCCATTCCTTTATTGCTGTACAATAAAAGGTGTTTGAAGCCTGGCCACTGACTGTGGGTACTACAAAGTTGTGCTCTCTCCCCCTAGTACTATGATTGCTGCGGTTCCCAACCTTGACAAAATTGACAGCAAGATATTCTGGACACTGTTTGTGAGCAATTTTATAAACATGATTTAGCTTCAGTTGTTTTACTCTGTCTTCAACATTCAGCATATCCAACTGAAAATTTTTAAGACTTAGAATGGGTTATAGCCCAAAAACCAAACACCTAAATTAAATTTATATACAAAAACTGCATAATATAAACCGAAGTCAACAAAAAAACACCAATAAATCAATTAGTAAATTTATATGACGTTTTTAGGGTTATCCTAGGTAATCCACACATACACTGCTATGTATGATAATTTTATGTAACTGTATTTATGTGTATACCTGGGACTCTAATGAGAATAAGTCACTCTGTCTGACTTTTTTTCTGGGTTATCCTGGGTTCTCTACACATATGCTGCTATGTATGTATACCTGAATAAACCTATTTATTTACTGTTGGAAACGTTCGCTGGAGTTGTTTGTTACCTGAACTGAGCCACACCTTGGGCGAGGCCAAGTTGATGAGGGGGGGAGGACGCTCTCACCCCATCAATGTTAATAAATAAGTAAGTTTATTCAAGTATACACAAATACTGTTACATAGATTATCATACATAGCAGCATATGTATAAAGTACCCAGGATAACCCAAAAAAAGTCTGACAGAGTGACTTATTTCCATTGGGGTTCTTTGTGAAATAATTAGACTTATTTCAGCAGAGTACAATGTATGTACAGAGATTAGTAACATTGAGGTGTGTAGGCAGAAAATCTCTTAAGTATACAGAGCATTTCGGGCAAGCTTAAGATTATCTTAAGACTAATAAGTCAATCATTTTAAATAAGCAGAATAAGTAAGTTTATAATAAGAAAAAAGTGAGGAAATTTATTTAGGTAATATTACAAAATGTCTGGGTGTTTACACGTGTTTTACATAGTAATATGTGTAAAAATGACCTAGGATAACCCCCCCCCAAAAAAAAAAACAAGAAAAAAGTTTAGTTTTCTTTGTTTCAGTGGGTCCTCGTAATACTGTTAGCCTATTAGAGACAGTAAAAATAAGTAATAATTATGGAAATAAGTCACTGTCTGATTTTGGGGGGTTATTATAGGTAATTATCACGGGTCCTGGGTGGCAGCATACTTCATACAGCATACTTCATACAGTCCAATACTGAAACTATGTATAGTGCCAAAACAAAAGCATTCACATTGTTAAACTCACAAACTAGTATTTAGTCACTTAGCCATAATACCAACTTACCTCATAATTTTGTAATATTTTAAACATAAGATTTAATTTAAGTCTGCCCGAAATGCCTAGCCATGCTAGGTGTTCTAGTGGTACACTCTGCAATCATTATTTTACTACATGTAAACCACACAATAACCAAATTCTGTAAACTCAGCATTGTAATCCTTATAGAGAATAAACTTTGAATTTGAATTTGAATAACACGGGTCCTGGGTGGCAGCATACTTCATACAGTCCTAGCACGGGTCCTGGATGGCAGCATACTTCATACAGTCCTAACACGGTTCCTGGATGGCAGCATACTTCATACAGTCCTAGCACGGGTCCTGGATGGCAGCATACTTCATACAGTCCTAGCACGGGTCCTGGATGGCAGCATACTTCATACAGTCCTAACACGGGTCCTGGATGGCAGCATACTTCATACAGTCCTAACACGGGTCCTGGGTGGCAGCATACTTCATACAGTCCTAGCATGGGTCCTGGATGGCAGCATACTTCATACAGTCCTAACACGGGTCCTGGGTGGCAGCATACTTCATACAGTCCTAGCACGGGTCCTGGATGGCAGCATACTTCATACAGTCCTAACACGGGTCCTGGATGGCAGCATACTTCATACAGTCCTAACACGGGTCCTGGATGGCAGCATACTTCATACAGTCCTAGCACGGGTCCTGGATGGCAGCACAGTTTTCTCTATTTCAGTGATTTAAATGCAGCATCCAGTAGGTTGCCAGGAGATATTTGGATAAATAAGCCGGGAGGGTTAGTGACCCAGGCTAGCCAGAGGAACATCCAGGGTAACCCAGGATGACCCAGGGATCGGGAGAGAGAGAGAGAGAGAGAGAGAGAGAGAGTTAAGTTGAATATAAAAAAGAAAGACTGAAACTGAAATATAAATTCGAAAAATTAAAAAAAATCATTGTTACTTTAAATAGTAAAGTGAGTGAGAATGACACAAGATGACGGAAGTGAGTCAAGTGTGTTGCAAGTTTATATTAACTAATAATAATAATATAAAGGCATGGTATTTAAACAATATATATTTAGTACTTTTATTATGCACACAATACACACACACACACACACACACACACACACACACACACACACACACACACACACAAGAAAATGACGTAGTGGAGGCAGGAACCATACACAGTTTTAAGACGAGGTTTGATAAAGCTCATGGAGCGGGGGGAGAGAGGGCCTAGTAGCAACCGGTGAAGAGGCGGGGCCAGGAGCTAGGACTCGACCCCTGCAACCACAAATAGGTGAGTACAAATAGGTGAGTACACACACAGGAAAAAGATCTTGGGGTGAGTATAACACCAGGCACATCTCCTGAAGCGCACATCAACCAAATAACTGCTGCAGCATATGGGCGCCTGGCAAACCTCAGAACAGCATTCCGACATCTTAATAAGGAATCGTTCAGGACCCTGTACACCGTGTACGTTAGGCCCATATTGGAGTATGCGGCACCAGTTTGGAACCCACACCTAGCCAAGCACGTAAAGAAACTAGAGAAAGTGCAAAGGTTTGCAACAAGACTAGTCCCAGAGTTAAGAGGTATGTCCTATGAGGAGAGGTTAAGGGAAATCAACCTGACGACACTGGAGGACAGGAGAGATAGGGGGGACATGATAACGACTTACAAAATACTGGGAGGAATTGACAAGGTGGACAAAGACAGGATGTTCCAGAGACTGGACACAGCAACACGGGGACACAGTTGGAAGCTGGAGACACAGATGAATCACAGGGATGTTAGGAAGTATTTCTTCAGTCACAGAGTAGTCAGGAAGTGGAATAGTTTGGGAAGCGATGTAGTGGAGGCAGGATCCATACATAGCTTTAAGCAGAGGTACGATAAAGCTCATGGCTCAGGGAGAGTGACTTAGTAGCGACCAGTGAAGAGGCGGGGGCCAGGAGCTTGGACTCGACCCCTGCAACCTCAACTAGGTGAGTACAACTAGGTGAGTACACACACACACACACACACACACACACACACACACACACACACACACACACACACACACACACACACACACACACACACACACACACACACACACACACACACACACACACACACACACA